GTCATGTGACCTTTGGCAGTCCTGACGCACTTTGTTTATTTCTTCCCGCAATTTCCTTTCCCCACTCTCTTGCATCTGTACTAGCCTTTTATCTACGGCCACCAGGTTAGCCTGAACCTCATCCCTAACTCCTGTTATTTGAGCTTGTAACTTTTCTCGCGTTTCTTTCTGGCCATTTTCCAAGCTCTCAAACAATTTCTGAATATTCTCCTCTGATCGCCTAGCTCTTTCCTCGGTATCTGCCTTCTCCTCTCGAAACAGTACCTGGATATTTGCCATCAAGTCCTGTAACTTAAAACTATCGCTTTTCTCAACTTCTACTAGTGGGGAAAGCTGAGTAACGTCTAGGTCCCTTCTGCTACTACCGCTTTCGAAATCTTCATTCATAGCTAGTTCCGGTCCCTGCGTTCTTTCTATTGGATCTAGTTGGTCCGATGGCCCGTCCTTGGATTCTTCCCTCAAACCTTAGTCCATCTCCTCTGACAAAATATCCACAGTCCTACTTCGCAAAAGTTTTTGAGACATAGTTCCTAATCTTTAGTATTATTTATTTGTTAGCACCAACCAGATTATTTGTCGTTACTTGCGCTTAGTTGTGACTTTCGAGCATTTTGTGTACAGGATTAGGCAAGTTCGCAAAATGGAGAGAGAGCCTCCCAAAGTACTCGAATCATAATTAACCACCTGAGGTACCACCTGGCTAGCGGATAGTGGCTGCGTCTGAGAAGGTAAACACGTACCAGGAGCGAGATTAGGGGCAGTCAAATGCGTTCCGCTCTGAAGGTCCGGCCTATTAAAGTCGGACACAGCGGCACCCTGAAACTTAAGAAAGGAAACAGCAGCAGGCTGATCCCCTGGAGGGTGACTCTTCTGCAAGGAATCTATCTGGGCAATCATATACTGCATATATTGGTGTACTTCTTCCTAGAAATTTACCGTGTCAGCCCGCACATCTGGTGCGAGTTTGCTCAACTGCAATAGATGACGTAGCCGAGTACTGACATGTCGCAACCGATGGAGGTAACGAGGAAAATCAAGACCAATGGAAGAACAGTCTGTGTTCTCCACCAAATTCCTAATCCCTAATCTGCTGAAAACGATCATGGCAAAAGGTTAGCACTTTATTAGGGGTCAGAAAGATATCAGAATTAGTACACACGTCAGGGTTTTCTTTTATTTCGCGTGACTTACGGAAAAGAGATCGCAAATCCGCAACATTTAAACCTTCCATATTTATACCACGGACCTCCAACTCATACGCTAACTCATCCTTGTGCAAAAATTCAGGTACGCTAGTTTGTGGTTCCATAATGCTGCTGACGAAATAGACACGAAACAATTATGATAACAAGAGAGTCACAACCAGGTTAACAGGTCCCATATAGCCTACCCAAGTGCCCTACACAAACAAACTGAACCACCATAGCAGGGCAACCCACGCTAGGACTGCGTGTAAACACACTACGAACACTAACCAGAATCTCAGGAGGAAATTACGTTGACCACATAGCCACGCTAACAATGCATACTACAAAAGCAACCAACCACTATAACAAGGGACTACGGCCATCTAAACCACGGTTCCGTCCCACCCTGTTTACACTTAACCATGCTCTGCTACCACTTTTTGAATCGTGGGATCATTCTGGTTGTTGTGCGCTGAGCAACATCTCTGTGGTAGCTCCTAAACGTCACGGACTGTATTTAAACACCTCTTAATTTAACTTAATATACAGCAACCAGTTTCCACTTGCATGCTTCCTTTGTGACGCCAAGACACACACACGTCCCCACACCCACTTTCTAGCAACCAACCTGCTGCTCACTGGTGAGCACAGGCACCACGCCACAACCCAAGAGGTGCCGCCCTCAAGCTGCCACGGCTCCAACTCCTTAGGATGGCTGCACTCAACATGCCGCCCACCTAATTTGAGCTACAAATTACAGTTAATTATTCAACAAGTCTCTACACAAATGAACACATCGGGTGATTCCCTGGTCACCCAGACAGTCCTCATCACTCACATGATGCGATCTGTTAATTTAGTTCGTCAGGGAACGGACAAATCTTCGTTATTGGCCTTCGGTAAGACCCCTTGCTGGTCCGCACAGTCACTACACGAACTAGGCCATCAGCCCCAGGATGGGGATCCTCAATCATGCCTGTCGGCCAGGTGAGAGGAGGAGCGTTATCTTCCTTCAGGAGCATCAGCCTTCCTGGTCGAAGATTAGGCTGGTTCTGCAACCACTTGGAACCCTGCTGGAGCTGGCCCAAGTAGTCTGCCGACCAGCGCCTCCAGATGAGCTGCCGGCACCGCTGGACCAGTTGCCATCTGGACAGACGTGAGGATTGCCTGACATGACAATCTGGTTCTCGGAAGGACATTAAGGGCTCACCAATCAAAAAATGCCCCGGAGTAAGGAACGCACAATCATCAGGACTGCTAGGTACTGGAATGATGGGCCTAGAGTTCATGCATGCCTCAATTTGCGTGAGCAGTGTGGTCATTTGTTCGAATGACCAAAGAGTGTTACCAGCTACCTTCTTGAGGTGAGTCTTCACCGATTTGACACCCGCTTCCCACAGTCCGCTGAAGTGAGGGGAGTGGGGGCGGATTAGATACCACTCCATCCCTTCTTGAGCTGCATATCTTGATATAGCCAAAAGATAATCCCTTGAGCTTAGCAGTCGAGACATCTCGTTCAGCCGTCACTTTGCTCCGGTGAAATATGTGGCGTTGTCACTGTACATCTGACTGCAACGCCCACGTCTTGAAACGAACCTCCGTAACGCAGCAATGAAGGCTTCAGTTGTCAAGTCGCTGACAAGTTAAATGTGTACGGCCTTAGTCGCCATGCACACAAACAGTGCTATATAGCATTTTCTCTGGGTTATACTTCGAGGATTACCATATTTCACTTGCAAGGGCCTGCCATAGTCCACACCACAATGGGAGAATGGCCTGTTTGGTGTCATGCGAGATACAGGCAGCTGTCCCATTAGCTGCCTGGTGGCCTCGGCCTTCGTTTTGAAACATGTAACACACTTTCCGATCACTTGTCTGACAACCGATCGGCCATTAGTTATCCAGAATCGCAGTCACAGTGAAGTTAGAAGAAGTTGGCTTCCAGCATGCAGCAATCGTATGTGCTCATTCCAGATCAACAGTTTGGTGACATGATGTTTAGATGGTAGGATGAGGGGGTGTTTCTGATCAAAGGGTATGTCAGCGTTCTCCAGTCTACCGCCCACCCTCAACAGGTTGTTCCCATACAGGAAGGGACGTAACGTCAGAAGCTTGCTGTGGGAGGGTAACGCTTTCCCTTGCTGCAAACTCTGGAACTCCTGAGCAAACGATGGGTGCTGTGTAATGCAAGCAATGACAATCAGTTACTTGTGAAGTTCGGTAGACGTCATCGGTCCGTGTTGGCCTGATGCTGCACCTTGTTTCAGCTTGTAGAGGAACCTGAGAACGTAGGCAAAGACTCTTTGTAATTTTGCCCAACTGGAGAATCACTCGAATAAGGATTCTATCTCTGAATAGACAGTGATGCAGCATAGTTTTACTCCTCACCGTTCAGGAACCTTCTTGGGATCTGCTGGGGGCTGTGCTGGCCAGGAGGAGGGATCCTTGCTTAACCAGGAAGGTCCCGCCCACCACAGCAGATTGCCTTCAAGTCGTCGTTGGTCTGTTCCTCTGGAGATAATGTCCACAGGGTGGTCCTGTGATGCGACATGTCTTCAAGCTCAGTAAGTGGTTAGCTGTTGGATCTCCGCGACTGTGTTGGCCACATATGTTTTCCAAGTTCAAGTGCAACCAGCTATCCAGGCTAAAACAACTGTGGAGTCCGTCCAGTAAAAGCATTGAACAATTTGTAGGGTGAGGGCCCTATGCACCTTATCTACTAACTGGCTTAAAAGAAGGGCGGCGTTCAGCTCCACTCTTGGGAGCGACACATGCTTCAATGGGGCCGCTCTTGATTTTGAAGATAACAGATGAAGTGCCATGGTTCCGTTTGGGCTTACGGAACGTAGACAGACACACGCCCCGTAGGCTCTTTCTGAGCCATCGGCAAAGCCATGAAGTTCTACAGTGATGCTTGTGCCGTCTGCTGTGATTCTTCTGGGTATACTAATCCTGTTGAGATCAGACAGCCGTTGGTGAATTTTCTCCCACCGTGTGGCAAGTTCTTAAGGCAATCTCGAGTCCCACTAAAGCTGTCGTTGCCAAAGGGTTTGAATGAATAACTTACATTGTACGATGACAGGTCCTAGTAATCCCAACGGGTCGTATATGGACGCTACATTAGCCAGCACTATTCTCTTCGTCCATGTCACATTTTTGTGCCTGCTGTCCACCACGCTGAATTGGAACAAGTCACTACTGGGATACCAGTGCAGTCCAAGAGTCTTCACTGCACCCTCGTCAAGAGGAAGATTGCAAGGTCCCTGTGTCTCCTGAAGTGCAGCTGGAATGGCCTCCAAAATGTCTAGACTGTTGGATCGCCACTTCCGAACAGGGAACCCTCCACTCTTGAGCAATGATGTGACGTCGTCATAGAGCTGGATAGCTTCACTAACAGTGTCCGTTCCTGTGAGCAGGTCGTCGACATAGAAGTCATTCTTAATTACTTCAGCTGCAGTCGGTTGCATAGGTTCATGTTGCCATAAAAGGAGCTACAGCGGTTCCGTAAGTTACAGTGGTCAGACGGTAGGTTTCTAACCGTTGACTGGGATGACTTCGCCACACGATTCTCTGGAGGTCTCTGTCGTCCTCATGCACTTGAATCTGTCGGTACATTTTCTCCACGTCTGCAGTCAATGCGTACCTGTGTGTGTGAAAGCGTAGTACTATGGAGAACAGATCCTGCTGGATGGTTGGTCCTACCATCATCAAATCATTCAGTGAGTGTGACGAGGTGGTTTTTGCTGACGCGTTAAAGACTACTCTAACCTTGGTAGTGCTGCTTGTATTCTTTACTACCGCATGATGAGGCATCTAATAGCAAGACCGATGCTGGTCAATAGGGTCGATGAGTTCCATGTGCCCCAGTCGCAGGTACTCATCCATAAACTTGACATACTCATTCTTCAAATCTGGGTTTCTCAGTAATCGCCATTCCATGTCCCCAAAGTTCTGGCTAGCAGTGGCAAGGGAGTCCCCAAGTTCTCCAACGTCTTGCAGTAAGCTTAGCCTCACTCTGAATCTGCCTGCATCATCACGGGTAACAGAGTTTGTGAAATGCTCTTCACACATGCTCTCTTCTTTGGACTGGTGGCGTGTCGACAATTCTTCTAGCAGCCAGAATCGTTCCACTTGTGCATGCAAGTCGTGAGTTGTGTTTAACAATGAGGTTGTTACCGTCTTCCGTTGTCCCACGGAATGTGCAGGTATACATCCTGCCAAGACCCAACCAAACTGAGTATTCTGGAGTGTTGGGTGGCCCTGCCTAGATTGCTGTTCTGGCCTAAACACTTCAAAAAATACAGTTGCACTTAGCAGTAGATCCATGGCCCTTGGTTGGTAGAAGTGCAGATCTGTGAGAGGAACGTCGGTGGGCAATTCCCATCCTTCATAGTTGATTCTTGACGATGGTACTGAGCCAGTGATCAGCGGCAGTACGGAACATAGAATGCGGTTGGTGTAACTTCCGACGGTGGATTCGATCTGTAGTTGGCAGAAGTGAAGGCATTTCATTGCCAGCACGTTGCTTATATAATGATGGGCACAGAATGGCAATTTAGCTTGAGGCCCAACCTATCCACTAGGTCTCGAGACACCAGATTCATTTGAGAGGCACTGTCCAATAGTGCTCGACACTGATGAATTCTACCTTGACTATCCTTAACATTGACAACAGCAGTAGACAGAAGAAAGTCCTTGTGAGGGGAAGCGCCTCTTGATGTTGCAACAATGTTGTCTGTATTCTGCTCAACATGTAACAATATGTGATGGGGTTTGTTGCAATTCTTACAGCTTCCTGAGTTGCAACTGTTGGCTCTGTGATCACTTTGTATGCAATTGTAGCAGAGGTTATGCTCCCTTACAACGCTGATGAGGCTATTGACACTCAGGTTCTTGAATTTCATGCACTTGTACAGACTGTGCGAAGATGCACATAATGGACAGGGGGGGACATGGTGACAAAGGATCATCGCTGTCCTCTCTAGCTTGTCCCACAGTTCAAGTCCTCCTGGGAACCTGCAGCAGTCTTGTTTGATGAGACGATTTCCAGGATCTGGCAGTTACTCTCCAGAAACTGAATTAGGTCCTTCAGGCTGGGGTACATTTCGCTTGAACTACTATTCTCCCACTGCTTCCTAAAATTTAGACTGATGCGCTCCAATACCAAGTGGGACAGTATGAGTTCATGTAACGGTATTTCGATTTTCAAAGCCTCCACTGCATTTAAGTTGCTGCAGAGTTGATTGATTAGTACCCGCAGCTCCTTAGGAGAATCGTGCCTTGCATTTGGCAGAGTCATTAATTCCTTGATATGTAGATCTGAGATGAGCGGCGGATTATGGTTACGACCACGGATCAAGTCCCACGCAACCTTAAAGTTGTCTTGAGATACAGGCAAATTTTCTATGAGATGGTGTGGCTCTCCAGAGAGGCATGATAATATCTCTGAATGTCTGTGAGCGCATCATTACTAATAATCAATGCTACAATTGTGTCGTAGAAATGCATGAAATCTTGCAATGCACCACGGAATTTAGGTAGCGAAATCGTTGGAAGCTTCACTATGGTATTATTTATTGATCACACTTTCATTGTTGACAGATAGGGGCGGAGAAGGGGGTTCGGTGCACAATAGGATTTCCATTTTCGCTTCGAGCTCTAGGCACAAATCATCGAAAGCTGCCCTGTCGGTTTCGTGCGATCCATCCTCAGGTTAGTCGATTTCCAGCTGTAATTGTACATCATTGTACTCATCCACTAGGCTGGACAGTAGCCGTCTCCTAACCTTGAATTCGTTCAGATTGCCACGCAATTACAAAGGAGCTTAAGCGGGTGACGCGTGATTTGATGAATGCTCGTTTTTTAATCAAGGCACGTTTCTGATTGTTGTCCATGTTAGCCCAGGAAATACGAAGGAAGGTTTCTGATTTTGAACCAGATTGTACTTACCAGGTCACGGCTGTTGGCAGTGCGTCACTGCCGTCACTGCGGCCCTTTGTTTCGTTGGATTATGAGCACAACGCACATTGCAACGCTTGAAAAATCGTTTAGATTAGTTGCAGTTTTACTGATATCCGGGTCGGAGGACTAAAAAATGTTATGCGCTGAGCAACATCTCTCTGGTAGCTACTAAACGTCACGGCCTGTATTTAAACACCTATTAATTTAACTTAACGTACGGCAACCACTTTCCACCTGCATGGTCACTTCGGAACGGACAAGAGGGCCAAGAGCGCGAAGACCGCGAAGGCCGCGAAGACGGCCAGGACCGCCAAGACAAACACGCGTCCCCACGCTCACTTTCTAGGCTTTCTAGCAACCAACCTGCTGCTCCCTGGCGAGCACAGGCACCACCACGCCACAACCCGAGAAGTGCCGCCATCAAGCGGCCACGGCTCCAACTACTTAGAATGGCTGCACTCAACACTGGTCAATATAGGTTCTCGTGAGAACTGAATAAGATGAGCCGAGATAGGATAAAGAAATGAGCAAGGCGGAAATACCCAAAACATTTTTTTTCCTTGGCGCTACAGCCCACATTTGGGCCTAGGCCTACCTCCATGAAACTCTCCGTTTCACTTCGGTTTACTAGATCTTACACATACGGTAGGACTCCTTGGGCGAGTGACCAGCTCGTCGCGAGGCCTCTACCTGTAGACAAACACAGAACAACGCACACAGACATCCATGCCCTGAGTGGGATTCGAACCCACGATCTCGGCTTCCGAGCGAGCGAAGACAGTGCATGCCTTAGACGGCTCGGCTACCGTGACCGGCACCCAAAACAAACAACCAAGTCAAATAACAACAAAGAATAAATATAATATATATAGATAAAGAAAAGAATACAAAACATGATGTAAATACCTGTTACAAGATCATTGCAGATTTCGCTTTCTAAATTTCAGTACCATGTAGAATAGCCATGTCAAACTCAACTTGTACAGAGGGCCACCTCAGCCCTATAAATAATAGTCCAGGGCCGCACTTCAAAATAGAAATATACATTAGATTTTGATACAAAGAAATTTAATTCTATTCATTATTTAGGAATAATTTCAATATAATTACCTAAGTTCAGATATCTTAGAGTTTTAAAAAGCAAGAGAATGCCATTTTTGACAAGTATCAAACAGCTTTTCAATATGTAAAAAGAGAGATTACACACGAGCTTATGTTAGAAATAGCAAAACATTTAATATCCTGCAGCCTGCTAATTTATGTCTGCGTGAGACTTCTTGTCTTCTGGTCTGTTGGAAAAATTGTCTTCATAAAAAATATTTCTACTAAAATTTTAGTATTGATTTTAATATCAATTAGGTCTAAAAGTTAAGGGGCCTCATGTTTGACACGGCTGTGTAGAAGAATAAATTTGGATAGTCGCGGATGGCCTCGACCGGAGGTCCGAAAATGAAAACAACCTACCCCTTTGACGGTTGGGAAGTTAAGAGCGTTAAGAGCTGTTGAGAGGGTTAAGAGCCATTTAGCTCCACTCCGTAAGCCGCTAAGCCGGCTCGGCAAGGAAGGAGAGAGGGGGAAGGACAGTAGAGGGGAGAAGTGCGCACACAGACGACGGACATGAGCCGACATCACAGGTGGACATATCAATAGGCAGATTCCGGTATAGAGAAATGGCGATAAACATGCCTGTACATAAGAAATGTGAGATCCAATTGACCCGTTGTCTTGTATGGGCGTAGAACTATTCCTAGAGCCCTTTAGGAAGAACACAGACTGAAAGTGTTCGATAAGTTAATACACAAGATAATATCTGAACTCAAGAGAGAGAAACCAACAGGATAATGAGGAAAAGTACACATTGATGAACTTCGTAATTAGTATAATCTTCAGTAAATATTATTAGGGTTGTTACGGCACACAACCAGAGTGATCATAAACTTAAGAGATAAAAGACAGCAGTCAATGTACTGAATGTCCGACTGTGATACCAGTAATTATCTGGTAGATACAAAAGTTAGGTAGAGACCGTCGGTAAACTATATAAACGAGAACACAAGGAGATACTAAATCTCGAGATATTAAAGGAGGTGGAATAAAAAAAAGTCCGAGTTGAAAACCTCAAAGAGCTTTTGGTTTTTGGAAAACATAGATGATGATGATGATGTGAGTATCAACAGGACTTGTGAAAACATTAGAATTAATATAAAGTTTCAGCGAAAGAGAGTTTAGGTTATTAAGAACCGATGTAGCATAGGCCATGGTTAGACAAAGGATGTTCAAAACTTTATATTCCAAGGAAACAAGCAAAGTTCCAATAGTTAGAAGACCCAAGCCAATTAAATGGAGATAACCCGAACAGGGAAAAATATGACGCTAGTATACATTTCTGGAAAAGAAACGAAAGCAAATATCTCAGACACAAAAATAAACAGCTTGAAACAAAGAGTTAAAGGAAGAAATTTAGGTATACGTATAAAGACAGAGAGAGATTCAGGGATGCTTATCAACCTAACACTACTATGGTAGAGGATGAGGAGGGTGGTCTACTTGCAGATTACCACAAATTTTGGAACATGTGGAAAAACTATTTGTGTTAAATGGCAAGCAGATTGGTACCAGCGTCTCAGAGTGCAATTTGTTTTCGTTATCCTGTTATTTAACAATTTCCGGTCAAATATTTTCTTCCGCATTCTTATACAAAACTGCAATATTGCCCGTGGTTCTGTATAGGCATGAAAGTTGGTCTCTGATATTAATGGAGGAACATAGAATGAGAGTGTTTGAGAACAGGGTACTGAGGAGTATATTTTGACCGAAGAAAGATGAAGTGACGGGAGGTCGGAGAAAACTGCATAAAGACGAGCTTCATAACTTGTACTCTTCACCAAGCACAATTAGAATGATGACGGTAAGGAGATGAGATGAGCATGGCATGTAGCACGAATGGGGGATTAGAGGAATACATATAGGATATTGGTGGGAAAGCCGGACAGAGATAACTAGGAAGACTAAGACACAGGTGGGTGGACAATATTAAAACGGATCTTAGATAGCTAGGATGGTGTGGTATGGAGGATGGGGCCAGTGGAGGGCTCTTGTGAAAACGATAATGAACATTCGGGTACTATAAAATGTTGGGAAGTTCTTGAGTAGCTGTACAATTGGCGGCTTCTCGAGAAGGGCTAAGCTCCATGGAGTTAGTTAGTTGGTTAGTCTTTCTCCAGCACTTTCTGTGTTCTTCCTAAAGAGTGGCAGGCCTGGTTCCACAACCCTACAAGACAGGAGGCTACCTGGATATCCAAGTGTTACATTTTTAACAGTACAGGCACATTTGTCATTATTGCTTACCTGTATCGAAATTTGACCATTACTATTTCCAAAATGACAGATTGCTATTCGAAAACTGAAAAGGTGTAACTGCCTGGTATTGATTAAATTCTGGCAGAAATTATTCCAGCAGGAGGTGAAACATAACGTTCTGAAATCCATAAATTCATTAATTCAGTTTGTAACAGGGAACAATTTCCCAAGCTCTGAGACGGGTCCGTTAT